CTTCGAGTTCAATCTTAGGGGCTCCAAATAGCGTTTTGTTCGTCCAGTTCTATGGCCTTCTCTCTGATGGATTTATTCACCATCTTCCAATTGACATCCTCTTCATTTTTCTGATCCTCATCTTCTTCCTCTTCTTCTCATCCTTTTCCTGCTACTGTCGGCGATACGGATTAATTTTAAACGTTGATTCAATCTATCATAAGGAAGGCTGCATGTGTGGCATTTGGAAGTATGAGTAGTTTTAAAGTGCGTATGTGTGGATGTATAGTTGGATGTGTTGTAGAATGTAAATCCTGTCTTTTGCCATTACGTCAAGAGAACTGGAAAAAGTGTTGGATGGAATCTGTTTTTTTTTTTCAATTGATTGATCTAAATTGACAAAGTGGTAATGTTTTCTTTTCTTATGCATACTCTATGAACAATAATTTTTATCAGGAAGAACAGGTGGAAGAGCACAAATCTCTGGCATCCAAATATTCATTTTTTCCGGCGAGGACCAGCAAGAACAGGAAGAAGGAGCACCTACTTCTGACGGCAAGCCTTTGAGTTCTGGGTTGAGAGACAAAGTTATTTGATGACTCAAAATAAATTATATATGATAAGAATTAAAGTATTAATTGTGAAGAGATTAAAAATTAATATAGACTAGCTTAAAATTCAGCTCATGACGAATATGGGCTTGAAGTTTTCTTTTGCAACCTGTGAAACTATAGTGGTTCCGTCTTATGCCTCATCTCATATAGAATTTTAAGTGGCTCTATTTTTTAGATGAAACAAAGGTATCCTTAAGTCACATTAGACTTAAGACTAATCTCTTTCGAATCTGGAGTGGTTAAGGAATAGCTCTCCCAACAAATACGTTTTTCGAAATTCGAATTTGTGTTCTCCTCTTTACGGGGATGAAGCCGCTACCATCTCAACCAACAGCTTGTTGGTCAAGTGGCTTTATTTGTTCATGATCTATCAATATACTAATTTCATTCATTTAATATTATTAAGTTAAAATTTGAAGAAAAAGATTAGCTTTTCCTTAATTTTATGATTTGCCTTTTCCCCTTTTACCCACCCCACAGTTCCATCCACACGGAATCGGGGATCCGGTCTCCCCACAGCTTTTTCATGGCCAATTGGCCATAACCCTCGGGCCTATACGAGGTACCATCCCCTGTGGCTTCATCACAGGTTCACGAGGTGTTAGGGGATTTTAATATGGGAAAATGACACTAAGGTCCCATACAATACAAAATACTATAAAAAGGTCCCAGAAAATTTGGTAATGATTTTGAAGTCCAAAAGGGACTTGAGTGCAATTTGGTGAATTGTAAAAAGACGCCTCTGCCCCTGGTGAGATGCATCTAAACTAACTCAAACTATCCTGTTTTTCAGTCTGAAAATCAGCACTCTATACGCAGGAAGCAAAGAGAGAAAAAACCCAAATTTCATTCTGCTTCTTCTCCCATTCCCATCTGAAAATCTCATGCACTCTATTAATATCAATCATTGGCAAAAATCGCTTGTGTTTTGTTTGGTGATGTGTGTTTGATCATTCAAGTTGGGGTTTTATTATAGGTGGGTAGGGTGATTATGGGTGTTCTGTTTCTGGGTATATTGTGGGTGGATTGAAGGTGGGCTTGCTTTGTCTGGGCATGGTTCAAGGGGAATTGATGAGAAAGATGAAGGTTGGTGTGATTAGAAACCCTTATTGCGAAATAGGAAAATATGTTGTCAATAGGGCGCGACAGTTGTCAGTATAGCTCCTTGACTTGTCAATAGTAACAGCATTGTACAGATTTACATTAATTGATTTTTTAAATTTTTTACACAAAGGCCATGACCTTCTGTACTCTTGACTCATTGGTAGAGGTCACAAAAAGAGGAAGAAGAGGCAACAAAGAAGGGTGAGTAGTTACATGAGGCAAAAGAAAAAAAAGAAGCCACTTTGATCCTAGACAAATGATGGCAAAAGAATTTTTCGTAAATAGAAGTGACATAAATTTTTTTTGTAGATGTCACAACACACAAATAATTAGTTTAATACTGGATACATGCAACTATATGTTTTTTTTAATGGGGTTAAAAAATCAGTGTAATTACATGTATATGAAGTTGTAAATGAAAGTTAGCTGTGTATTACATTCTGATGTATAGTTAGTTGTCATTATCCGCACCCTTCATTGTCAATATATGCTTCATCACTTGTCACTCACTGCACCATCAGTTGTCAATTAATGTGCTGATATAAATTTAAAAAAATATGATTTTCATTACATAATGTTATACAACGTCATACAATATCACTAATTCCTCAAAACTAATCCATTTTTTATAATGTGATATAGAATAGTTATTAAAAGTCAATCATCACTGATATGAAGTCATAAAATCACTTGTCATGAACAACATATTCACTTGTTAATGGTTTTGCTCTGTTCTAATGTTAGTTTACTAGCAAAGGAAGAAAAAGATGAAGGTTAGTGTGGGTAGAAACTCTTAGCACGAAATAGGATATTGTGTTGTCAATCAGGCCGCGATAGTTGTCAATGTGTGCCACGACAGTTGTCAACGTAGCTCTTTGACTTGTCAATGACAGTTGCGTGATTCTTGATGCAGGTTTAAATTACTGATGACAACTACATCTGGAAAGCATATATTTTTCTTTGTTCACATAGGGAGAAAGTTTATAAATGATAGAGAAGATGATATAAGATATGTGGGAGGTAGTGTAAGAACAACAATATAAAGGAAGGCACAAGTTATGAAGAATTGAAGGAAATTATATCATTAATTACTGAAAAAGAAAATAACTCATTTCTTTTGAAATTCTCAGTTGTGTATAGCTCAACAGCATCCAGCTTAGAAATTAACAACCTGAGTTATCCAAAATAACAAGTAATATAACATGAGTTAATAACAAGTGATATAACGATTTCATAACAAATGAATGTGTGGATATTAATAATTAATATTCAAAAATTTTACAACTGAAGGTGTCATTTATTTATAATGTTAAGTGATATTTGCATTAAAATATAATTATTAAGAAGAAGGTGTTACTCAAATTTATGTTCAATTGATAAGAGACAGTGCCTTCATTAACAAGTCACAATACTCTATTGGCAAGTCACAGTGCTACCATTGACAAGTCATAGTGCCACCATTGACAACTGATAATCCGCTGCGGCGTTTGATCATATCTGTCGCGGCACCCCCATCTATCCCAAAGAGTTGCCATTCTGTGTAAGGTACCGCGGCGCCTAATCATATCCGCCGCAGCGCCCAAACCTTTCAAGAAGTTATTCGGTGAACAACAAGTCGCAGTGCTACCATTGACAAGTCAGTGTGTTACCATTGATAAATCATAGTCCCACCATTAATAAGTCATAGTGCTTCTATTGACAAGTCATAGTGTCACCATTGGCACTTTATTAATAATAATTATATATGACAATATAACCAAAATATAATATGACAGAGTAATTGAAAATATCATATGATACTAAAACAGGTTATGTAATTTGAATTCATATTGTTGACAACTTACATCAGCAAATTAATTGACAAGTCACAATGCTCCATTAACAAGTTATAACAGATCTAATAACAATACAGGATGCGGATAATGACAACTGAAATGACAGCAGAATCTAATATGCCAAGTTACACTGAAACCATTAACAAGTGAAAATGTTGTTCATGACAAGTGATTTTATGACTTCATATCAGTGATGATTGACTTTTAATAACTATTTTATATCGTATTATAAAAAATGGATTAGTTTTGAGGAATTAGTGATATTGTATGACGTTGTATAACATTATGTAATAAAAATCATTTTTTTTAAATTTATATCAGCACATTAATTGACAACTGATGGTGCAGTGAGTGACAAGTGACGAAGCATATATTGACAAGGAAGGGTGCAGATAATAACAACTAACTATGCATCAGAATGTAATATATAACTAACTTTCATTTACAACTTCATATACATGTAATTACACCGATTTTATAACCCCATTAAAAAAAACATATAGTTGCATGTATCTAGTATTAAACTAATTATTTGTGTGTGTTGTGACATCTACAAAAAAAATTTATGTCACTTCTATTTACTAAAAAATTCTTTTGCCATCATTTATCTAAGATCAAAGTGGCTTTTTTTTTCTTTTGCCTCATGTAACTACTCACCCTTCTTTGTTGCCTCTTCTTCCTCTTTTTGTGACTTCTACCAATGAGTCAAGGGTACAGAAGGTCATAGCCTTTGTGTAAAAAATTTTAAAAATCAGTTAATGTAAATCCGTACAATGCTGTTACTATTGACGAGTCAAGGAGCTATACTGACAACTATCGCGGCCCTATTGACAACATATTTTCCTATTTCGCAGTGAGGGTTTCTAATCACACCAACCTTCATCTTTCTCATCAATTCCCCCTGAACCATGCCTAGACAGAGCAAACCCACCTTCAATATCCACCTATAATATACCTAGAAATAGAACACCCATAATCACTCTACCCACCTATAATAAAACCCCAACTTGAATGACCAAACACACACTAAACCAAAGATACAAGCGATTTTTGCCAATGATTGACATTAATAGAGTGGATGAGATTTTCAGATGGAAGTGGGGGAAGAAGCAGAATGAAATTTGGGTTTTTTCTCTCTTGCTTTCTGCGTATAGAGTGCTGATTTTCAGATTGAAAAACAGGGCATCTTTGAGTTTGTTTAGATGCATCTCACCAGAGGTAGAGGCGTCTTTTACAATTCACCAAATTGCACTCAAGTCCCTTTGAGATTTCAGAATCATTACCAAATTTCTTGGGATCTTTTTGTAGTATTTTGTGTTGCATGGGACCTCAATGTCATTTTTTCTTTTAATATTTTTGTAGAAAATAAATATAATTCCACGTACTTATACTTTTTTTTTTTTGGAAAAAACTTTAAAAAAATATAAAAACATTAGAAAAATATTTATTTTGAAATATGAATTTTTGTTTTCTGGTTCTAGGCAGTGCCGTCGCCCGTCGGTCGGATCTGAATTCTGATGCAAGTACCAAGGCTAGAATAGAATACAGCAATTAATTGTTGTATCGAAAGCCAATTTACATTAATGGACAAACAAAAAAGGGGGAATATCTTTCTCCCTCATTTTCATTCCTAGGTCAGAACAGAAAAGCAGGAAGAGTACGCATGTAAAGAAAGATCATCAATGGCGTGGACTTTCTCCGCCGTGAATGTGAACTAAAAATCAAAGCTTTGTTGCTTATTATTAGGTGAGCTTTGCGGAAAATCAATGCCCTTCATCATCTACTAACCTTGGCCGAGTAGTTTCTTAATCCGATTTGGCGAGCATTTGCAGATTTCTAATAGAAGAAAGGGTTTTGGGATATTTTTAAACAAAAAGATAGCAGAAGAGAGACAGTTGAAGAACATGAATGAGACGTGTGATTATGACACCAAATATGAGCTGATGAACTGAGGACTGGAATTAGGGCAACAAACTGAAGTTGATTTGCTTGTTAATTGGACAAAGAGTTACCGTAACTAGAGGTAAGAACTCCCCTTTCATTTTTTATTCATTTTGGACTGGTTTAGAAATATATATATATATATATATATATAGAGAGAGAGAGAGAGAGAGAGAGAGGGAGGGAGGGAGAAAATTATGGTCTTGTTAGAGTACTGTATGGTTCTATAATTGGTGTAATTTGGGTGTCGTTAGTTTGTATTGTGCTTCATGTAGATGTTGGGCAATATCGCTGGGGAATGAGGATATGTATTGTTACTGTATTCTGGTGCTGTGCCTAATTTTGGAGGCCATTTTGCTATATAGAATTATCTTGTACATTTTGGTCAAAGGGGGCTGTTCCTGTGAAACTTGAACAAATAGTATTTTGGTTATTTTGCATGCGCCCGAAATGACTCCCAAATTCCTTAAATCTTCTTTTTAATTAGGGAAATTAGGAGGATTTGATTAATATTAACTTCCTTATAGGATACTTAATTGTCATTTTCTCATCTTTTTATGGTCCTTTTCCAAAATTTAGGGAAATATTTATGATGTATTTCCAAAAATGTCCTTTTATGCAATTAACCCTTATTATGAAGTGTCCTCTTTGACTTTATTAGGGAGGTTAATCACTTTAAGTGTAGTTGTGGAATGTTTTAATATTTGCCTCAAGGCATTAACTATTTTTAGCTATTTGATGCAATTATTGTACTTTTTTGGCTTCTTTAGGACAAAAATTTACCTCAGCCGAGCAAGCCCTCCACGTCAAAAATGGCATCTTGGAATTCGGTCCCACTTCATGTGTCATACGAAGTTTTGGGTTGGTTGACTTTTGTTTGCTGGTCTATCAGTTTCTACCCTCAAGTTTACTTGAATTATCGTAGGAAAAGGTTCCAACAAAATATATCAACTTCTTCCTTCGTTTTTTATTATCTCACAAATAAAGCTTTCTTGCTTTTACTCCTTTCTTTTTATCATTTTAATTCGCCTCATTCGTATGGGTGTTGGAAATGGTTATTTGATTTCAGTGTTGTGGGATTGAACTTCGATTTTGTGCTGTTGAATCTCACGAAGCACTCATCCTATATGTTATACAATACATCTCTATACTTCAGCCCTACTGTTCAAAAGCAATACAAAGATAAGTACGGTCAAAATGAGGTTGGTTCTTTGTATAATCAGCTCATAAATACTAATTCTTCAAAGCTTATAGCTTTGATATTTAGAAACCATATTAAATTCCATTTGTGTTTCAGATGATACCTGTAGCAGCAAATGATGTTGCTTTCTCATCTCATGCTGTTCTACTCACTGCAATTACCTTGTTCCAGATTGCAATCTATGAAGTATCATAATCTTTTTGATTGAGCTTTTTGTACTTTCAATTTTATTTTTGTTCTTTTAATTTTCTGGGTTATTTTGAAATTTCTTATTCTAGTCTGTTATTGTAGCGTGGAAATCAGAAGTTGTCCAAAATAGCTTGTGGAATTGTGTTCATAACTTGGTTAGTTGTCACAATCTGCTTCTTCATAGCTTTGCCTGAACACCATTGGCTGTGGCTTCTCTCAATATTGAAGTATGTTATGCTTTCTCAACTAATTTTCTCCTATTTTGAGCTGCCTTCTATAACATCGGTTCTCTACACTTAACTTCACAGATATTACATTACATGATTGAATGCCATGTGCACGAATGTTTATTTAGGATTGATCTCCTAATTAACTGTGTTGAAGTTAACCATCTTGCAGTGTGATTCAAGTTTGTATGACGACAATAAAATATATACCTCAGGTCAGGATTTATTTGATTTTGTATTCAATTTTGTATTCAGCTTCTCTTTATGGAAGTTGTGTTACAAGGAACATGTTTACCAAACTTTATGTTGAAAATCATATTTCTGATGATGAAAACCCGTATTCGATTTAGTGAGGATAACTTTATGGATCTCCCAATACCATTGTTCTTTATAGACAACAAATTCTTTAGATTATTGTTCACTGATAGATTCCATTTGATAACTTCTTTTTAGTGTCATTCTTGGCCTTTCTCCACCACCTTTCATACAACTAAAGACCATCTATTTAACTCTCTTCATTGATGCCCCCAACGGCCTTTTCTGCAAATGTTTGAACCACCTAAAATGATTTTCTACAATTTTCTCCTCAGTAAATGCCATACCAACCTTTTCTTTTGATTCACCTAAAATTGCTTTAGCAACCTTCCTAACTCTTATGGATGTTTCATCCCACATGATGTTAATGCTTCCTTGCAACTCTCAATCATCTTCCTCCAATAGTTTTATTTATTTATTTATATTTTTGATAAGTTCCAATCGTTTTATTCTGAAAGTTAGTTGTTTGTCAGCTTTTAGCAGCCAGAACTTGATACTAGGCTTTATAACTTGCTGACACTTCTGTTTTCGTATCTTATCAAGAACATCAAGGACCAAGACCTTAACTCTTAATATAAGGATTTCCCTTGGAATCACTTGGCAGTCCTTACATAATCTTCTATTTAGATTTCATACCAAAAAGAAATCAATCTGCAACCTTGAGGCTCCACTCTTATATATATGATCTACGCTCCTCCTGCTTCTTAAAGTGTTGACAATCCTTAAATCATATGCCAATTCAAAATCAAGATTGAATTACCCTTCTTTGTTAAGTTCCTTAGAACCAAAATCACCATGAGCTCTTGTATAAGGTCTTGCATCCTTCTTGACATGGCTCTCAATGTCTCCATTGATGAAAATCTTTTCATCTTGTCAGATGCCTTGAGCGAACCCCTCCACATCTTCTTAAAACTTTTCCTTAAGATATCCTTTTGTCCTTGCTTAAGGTGCATAGCCACTTATGATGTTCATAGTATCATGTACAAAATCATTCTTAAGGATGAGATCTCATCCTCAATCCTTTTTGCTTCCATCACATTCTTCTTCCAATTCTTGTCAACCATAATACCAACCCCCTTCCTTGCTTTTACTTTCCCTATGCACCAAGTTTAAATCTTGCAGAGTAAAGCTCCTTAGTCTTTTCTCAAACCCATTTAGTTTCTTGAAGGCAATATGATAATTCTTCTCTGAATCATGGCCACTTCTGCATAGATTTATGTGTCAAAAGTGCTAATATTCCAAATACCAAATTTGATCTTGCTCTTCCGAACTAAATTCTCTACCCATTTCTGTTCTCGTAAATGTGGGAGCTTTTGCTCATTTAACATTACATTTGGGTGTAGAAGCTCTAGCTCATTTGATGCTGTACTTAGCCATACAGTGCATTACTTTCAGATAACAACCCAACATTAGCACAATATCATCTTTGATCTGTGTCATGGATGATTCTATGGAGTTTTATGTTGGTTGTCAAGGACCTAAGGCAGCCTATATCCTTTATTCAAGTTGGGACTGGCTATAAAACACAAGCAAAGTTTGAAAATCACATTTCTAACCTGATCCAAATACACAGTCTGCTTTAGAACCCTTTTTGTACTTCGCATTGATTTGTTTGAAGGTTGTTCTCATTCTTTTAGCCGGGGACTACTATTGACATATAACGTATTGGCCATGGCCATTTCCACCTGTGATTAATAAGTCGTGAATGTAGGCTGTCATGAACTTCCTGAGAAAAAGTACAGAAGGCTGGAGCATTGGGAACATTCTGCTTGATTTTTCTGGAAGCGTTGGAAACTATGCTCAAATGCTCATGCAGTCAATAGATCAAGGTTTCCATTGACATCTCCTTTAGTTATAAAGCATGAACCTTTCTGAGTTTATAATATATTAATGACAAAATTTCTAATCTTAGGTTCTTGGATGAACTTCTATGGAAATATAGGAAAAGTAATGCTATCTTTGGTACGGATTGTCCTCTCACTGTAACTTATACGGAATGACTATAAAGTGTTAATGTTGATGTATTTTGGCAATACAGATTTCTGTATTCTTTGACATTCTGTTCATGTTCCAACATTATGTGCTATATTGGCACAACAAAGGCCCAGAGGCAAAGATTGCTCCTGAAGTTGACATCACCAAGTCTATTGATAGACCAATGGTAAGAATTTCTACTGTCTAGTATGTAGTGGTTAAGTCATCTTTGAATGAAATCATTCTCCAGAGATGTTAACACATAGATCTAAGAAAAGTTTTAGAACGGTCTGTCTGTAGTAATAATTTAGGGATTGTTCCCATGAATTAATTGTATGTCTCAGAGGAGACTACCAAAGTGATTGAGCAAGGTTAAAATGAACCCATTTTAATGAAGATTACAGAAAAAATGTTACAAAAATGGCAGCAAAGTTGGTATCATTTGAGGCAGTAGAATTTAGTGCCCAAAATACATAGCCGTACAAGCGTTTGATATATCTTTCAAACATGCACCCATATCCTTAAACTTTTAATGCTATCAGCTTTCATGAGATTCTAATTACATTGCCTTTCTACTAAATTTTGTCAGAATGAGGGTAACTTGATATTTTGATGTTTTTTTGTTCAGAGGAAAAGGGCCTAAGGTATCTTCTTCCCTAATGTTTTAGACCCAGTATCTAAGACTTATACCAACAGCTCTCAGAAAATGAGGTTTTTTAGACTGTGCGCGTGGGAAGATATAGCATCAGCAAACTTGGTTTAACTCACTAGAAGTTCCGAGTGACATGACTAGCATGCTTTGAGTGTGATATGGACATGGTTAATGCTAGGGCACTAATTCCATGATCTATAGTTTTCAGATAGAAAGTTAAAGAGCATTTCTAATGGAACATGAAGGTTCACTAAATAACATGCAAATATCTGTATGCATTGACATAAATTATGTTGATGACTTTCCATATTTAGTGATATTTGATATAATTTTTTGGGGTTGTTTGGGGAATCATCATTACATTTTTGGGATATTTTGATTTGATTCATTTTCTACAGATTGGGCTGAATGTACCTTTATGAATTATTGGTAAATACAGATAAAATTGGGTAAAAATCGGTTTATACCAAGCAAATATTCTTTTTGATTAGTTTTCATATGGTGATTTTAGGAACTACTATTGGAGGAAGTGGAGATGGAAGAAATTGAGAAGTGGCCTCTAGTGTCATAGCACTGGCATTGCGATGCCGCAGCTCAATACCAACTGGACAATGATCGTGCTCTCTGGTGCGGCAGCACTGAACTCGTGGTGTTGTAGTACCATCACGGACCAAAAATGCACTTGAGTAACCACTTGAATACAATAATCACCACTAACATTGACCATACTTTAGGGTTGTTTCCCTGTCGCAGCTAAATTAATTTCCACTTGAACTTTGTTCCTCGTTTGTCTTCCTCAAATTAAGCAAATGTGTTAAGTTAGTGCTCAATTGGGTTGTTGACTTACTCTTGATGGGAATGACACTCTACCTGTCACTTTATTATTTGATATAGCCTGTGTACTTGCAGAAATTAGGTTTAACACATTTTTTGCTGATCATATGTTTTCAAGGTGGAAGACAGATATGCCTTTTCCTTGTTCTTTGTTGTTTTCTTACGGTATTAGTATTCATTTTGGTGAAATGTCTTCCAATTTTATTTATACAGTTATTGAGGTTGTTAGTTGAGGAACACTGGCTAGTGAAAAGCTTGAACCAGAGGTCAACGATGTAACCTTGCAAATACTCCTCATTAACAAGTCAAAATGGCCATGCCCTCTCCAGTCTCTCTACATCAAAGAGCTTCCCTTGTAGTTGCCGCTATAGCATGATTAGTTTCAGGAGCTAATATCAGCCCTTCAGACCTGGCAAACAGTAGGAACCCTTCAAGAGCTATCCAATAACGGTCTGGATTAGTAAAACATTGGTGAACACACTTCTCAGGCACTATTTGGCATTGGCATTTTCTGCTGCAACCTCTACAGCTTCTGATATAGCTATTCGTATTCCGGGGCTTGATGGATCCTTTTCGAGGATTCTTTCACCTGCCTCAGTGTTTGTGGATGGAGATGGGAGTACTTACACCCCAAGTTTGCATTATCCATCTCTGGTATGGTTTCAGATCAAAAGATACACGAGCTTTTTTGTTTGTCCTGCCATGGATCGAGGCATCAAGTGTCAACAATGCTCAAAAGATTATCTCGATAGCTTTATAATTTGAGCAAGTGATGTTTGTCTGTTTATACTTGGGGTTCACAGGTTTGTGTATATTCAAAGAGATGGGAGTTTAGGCATGGAGAGGGAAGAGTAATTTAGCTTGAAAATTTTTATAGACCTTTTCATAACATTTAAACTTAGCAGTAGAAATGTTTATGACATGATTTAGAGTGTGATCATTGATAACAAATTCTTACTTACAATTAAAGTTTTTTATTTATAAAAAAAAATGAAGTTTTGGGACAAGATCTGATGACGTGTCCTGTGAAAGATCATATTAGAGATTACAATAAAAGTATTCGTGGACCATCATCTTTCAGTTTATGTTTGTTGAAATGGTTCTTGACATAAAGCATGTAGTCACTTTAAATAGAATTTTTATTATGTTGAATATTAACAAGAATTGTAATTAGAGAATCAGAGATTCATTCTACTTTCCTAGCAGAGGCACAATGAAAAATTTTACAGTACTAATAGGACCTTCACAACTCTCCACTTTTTTTGGAAAAACTTGTTCATCAATATAGTGCACTACTACTTGATGCCTCAACGCCCCAGTGTTCTTCCCTTTGAATTTGAAGACTGCAACCTTTGTCTCCTTTGTAGTCTATAGTGTGGTTCCATAAGCACGTAAAAGAATTTTGTTTTTGTCGTCGTCTATGTTTGTCAGACATAAGAACATGACACTTCATAGTTCTTTTATTAAAAGGTCCTGGTCGTTGTTCTCAAACTTCTTTTTAATGCCCACGATTACTGACACTTGTCTTGAGAATTTCTCATTTGAAACAAAACCCTTTTAATTTGACGTCTGCTTACTCGCCTGTATTTTACTGTAGAGGCTGAAGATTGAGAAAAGAGAAATTCCTGAGCAAAGTATCTAACTTCATGAGTTGTACATGCCTATACATACATACATGTGTGTGTGATAAATTGTATCGCACATTAAAAAAAAATTACATGGTGCCACTGTATGAGAACAAACCTCTTTCATCCTCCTCCGCCTCCAAGCACCAAGGTGGAGGATGATCAAAGATGTTATGACAAATATGTATTGGGCGTATTTTGTAAGAGCACGTCTCTGCACAGCTAAGAACTCCTATACGTAGAACTGAAAGCAGCAATTTCTACCAATAAGCGTCCTGGCTTCCTCCATGATTTGTGCATTTTGAGCCAACATAGAAAAGCCCAAAGGATAAATTATTCAACATTGGCGATTTCAAGTTACCTTAGTCACCCATAAAATCTTGACAATGGAAATGAATTGTTCCGGAGAAGTTATTCACTCAGTCATTCTAACTTAGATTGTCTGCACTGGCATGGCTTCAAATTTTGGCCACATTTAGGTGTTATGGGATTCATACTTTCAAGCTGTCTCTGAACTCTAAGATCTCGTACTTATTAGGTATTGCAACCCTTTGTCTTGCTCATTTCATGGAAAAGCTTCATATATAATTTGTCAAAGGTAATCAATCACTGTATTTTCCAGCTCTTCAAGTTCTAGAACTGATTTTTCGTTCTCAGTACTCAAAAACTGTCAGTTTACAGCATCAGCACCTATAAAATTACAGAATGTCAAGACCAAGTATAAAATCAGGGGCTCTCTGAGTTGTGGTTATTTGGTGATATTTTTTTTTCTGCTTGTGAACCATTCATGATGTGATTGTAAGAATGAAGAAAGTTTATCATGTTGCCCCACTATAAAAATATATTTGCTGTATGTGTCTATTTTTCACCTTTTTACTAAGAGAAGATTCACATTTATGTACATATCTCAAAATTGGAATTCCCTGAATGGCTGCCGAGGCAATTCTATATAACTTGACATCAGTACTATGATCCTAAAGGATAGCTACGTAAAACTATGTTAAAAAGTGATTGAAAAAAAAAAAAATTATGCATGATGGTCAAATGAATAGATAAGGGGTCTAGACCTTTTTTTTTTTTGGGGACTGAAGGGAAGCAAGAATTACCCTTGTAGCTTGCATTCTTGCAACGTATGCATTCATAAAAGGATCCATGGCACCACTTGCTTAACAAGCTTGGGCCAGAGACTAAACAACACCTAGCCCAATCGGAGAATATTGACATTCAACGACCCAGGTAGTCACCCATTTGATAACCAATAAATCAGGAACTTATGACACCAAAAATTACACTGAAACTGAAGAAGCAAAGATCAATGGATTGCCAAGAAAAAGAAAAATGTTATACAATAACTATTTGTTACTTCAATGAAATAATGTGGTAGAGAAACGATGAGTCAATTTTAGCTAACTTTACATCTCTAAAAGCTAGAAAATTTTGCAACCTCATAATATTTGAACCTAACAACAGCTGAACAGCAAGAAAACCATAACTTCCACTAAGACATGAATGGCTCAACATCAAGAAGATAACGCCCAAGTTATAAGCTTTTGCCCTTTTTTTTTTTTTTAAATCCTTTTTCCCTTTATTAGCATTTCTAAAAAGTTCATGAAGAAGTCTGTATAAAGAGCATCATGAAAGCAATTTGTGTAATGTATGTATGTATGCACGTATGTATGTATTCCAAACAAAACTACCTTTATAATGCTTTGGTCAAAAGGTGACCATAGAGCTTGCAAATACATGAATACTCAGCGAGTGCATTACGTACCTCATCAATGAAGTTCCTCTTGGGCCTAGGAATGATCAATTTTCACGGAGCCCTCATGGTTGCATAACAACAACTCTCCATTTTTGAGCAATCCCTAATAGTTATTTCCCGGCAAGACGGCATCTCAAACTGGTAATTACTCGAGCAGAAACATTTAAGGTTGGGAAGATGAAAAAGCGTCAGCCACTTCAGTTCTGGGAATACAATCTTCTCGGCCTTGTTGGACTCTCCTCCCTCCTCTGTTGTGACTATCTCCTCTATCATCTCACATTCATAAACTGATAGCTCTTGCAGTTGCACAAGGGTCCTGGCTATGGAAGGAGGGAACACACTTCTTAGACCATCACAACACCCGATGTTTAGCTTTCTAAGATTATGAAAACCTAAGACTACTTCACCGTGGTTTTTGCATATGTGCATTAGTTTGGGTAGAGAGCACAAATGCATTTCTTGTAGATTATATTCATACAATGCCATAGCATTAGCATGCTCTTTTTCTTCATTTGCTTGTACTCCTTCTGATTCAAATATCTCCACCAGTGAGCAACATTCTCGGACCTTGATCTGTTTCAAATGTTGCAGTCTATGCAGCATGTTGGATGGAACACAGTTCAACAGCTTCTCGCAACCTTCAACAACCAGTTCTGTTACTCTTGTTATGTAGCCCAGGAGGATTTTATCTTGCTCAATCCAATTGATTGTCTTTGATCTTTGAAATGCTGCCTGAAATGGAAAGGTGTTGTCATGTTGACGAGAAAACCTAAGATTCTTCGATATAGATTGCTAAGGTTACTTTTGCCCTGTAAAAGTTTATAAACAGAATAGTTGTATCTTGATTATAAAAAATAGTGTAACTTGCACAGATTTCCTGTTAATCTTATTAAAACTAGTATTATTCCCTTTGCAAATGCTCATGGAATAAAAAGCATCACATTTTATTGAACAGTAAAACAAAAATAATCGTTATACTTCATAAAGTAGAATATGCTGCATTGTATAGTTACTTTTTCCCCACAGAAGTTTATAAGCAGGATAGTTATATGTTGTTTATAAAAATAGTGTAAATTGTTCAGACTTACCTTCAATTTTACTAAAATTATACTCCACTATTGTCAAAACTAATGTAAACCCCACATAAATTTTACTAGAAATAGATATACTTATATATTTTTCCCTTGGAACAAAGAGCAATTTATGTGAACTTTCCCTAAATGTTGTTGAAACTGCACAATTTCATTTTTAAAGTATATACAGATCAATATTAAAAAATAAATAAAAAGAATTGAGGTCTGTATAATGTCTATACAATTCAGAGGTTTGTATGATTTTTTTTAAAACTTTCTGGAGGGGTTTGTATCTGGTTTGAAAACAGAATAAATATCATTGTAATTTTATCAAAATTCAAGGATGGCTCATGAAATTTACATTTTATTTTCAAATAAAAGCAGTGGATATTTTTAAAATAGGTCTCCAGGAAATTGCAACAAAATTTAGGAGATGTCCATGTAAATCAAGTATCAAAGAGAAATGAGAAATTCCATGGAAGCTGGAACTTGGAATTTGGAATTAAAGAGGTGGAGAAATCATACACATGGTTACCTTCAAATCTCCTGAATGAGCTTGGTAGATTGTCATATTAAGGTCTCCCATGATGTCTACATACTCAAAGGATCCTTTGTATATTTTAGAAAGCTTTGGTATACTTACTGCTCCATAGGAAAAGGTCGTCATCTTTGGGCATTTTTCAATTACCATTTCTTCGCAGAAGGGAAGTTCAAAATCTACACTTTCTGGGCAAAAACATTTGAGACTGGGAAGATGACGAAGCTCCAACCTGTTCAGCAACGGAAACAATATCTCAGCTCTATTTGCTCCTTCAGATTCTTCTTCAGCTTCCTTCATTACTATCTCCTCCATCATTTGACAACCGTGTACACGAAGGTGTTGTAGTTGGACAAGACTTTTGGCCATAGAAGGTGACAGTATACCCTTCAAATTGCCACAGTATTCAACCTTCAATATTCTCAGCTTCTGGAAGTCCAAAATCTCTTCATGATTTTTCCATATGCGAATCAGCTTAGGCAGAAAATGCAAGTTCATGACTTCTAGCTCATAGTGTATCATGCTATGCCTCTTCTTTCTGTTTATTCCTTCTGATTCAAACACTTCAATCAGTGAACCACAGTCTTTTACTGTGAGGTTCTTCAGATTCTGAAACAGGTGTATCACATTGGATGGGACTAGAGTCAGTAAACTTTGAAATTTTTCAATAGTCATCTCTGTTTCTTTCATAAAGTAGCTAAGCATGCCTTGTTCCTCCTTGAGCCAGCCAAGATTCTCTGATGTTTGAAAAGCTAACTGCAAAACCCACATCCACGTGTTAACAAAAATTGTTTTTTTTTTAATTAATCTCAATAAAAATGATAATTGAAGAAAATTGAAGAGTTCTGAAGAAATTCTTGTGGGGACATGAGCTACTACGAAGGTACCAATACAAGAATAAAATTTAAGCAATTAAAGCGCTTGAATCTTGCAATGTTATGCTTAAGGATATGTAGCTTTCAAGTGCTTAAGTTATCGCTTTTGGCTAGAACAAACCTCTGAGTAGCCATAACCCCATAAGAATTGCTCCCCTGTTGCTTCCTTTAGAATTTTAATTAGATGATGAAAAAGAAAGCCTAACAAATGCAAATTTTATAGATGAGAAAGGACGCAAAGAACTGAGCTTACAATTCCTTTGGAAAGTTGAGCAGTGGTGTTCAGATCTCCCATCCATACGACTTTGGTAAGGTTTCCAACTTTCATGGTAATACCTTTTAGCTTTGGAGTGTTTGGAAATCCATATGAGAATACCTCCATCCTATGGCAATTTCCAAAACACACTTCTTGCAGTAACGGGAAATCCAAGTCATAGGAACCATGGCAGAAGGCTTCAAGTTTGGACAGGCGTTCAAGTTTCAGACGCTTCAATCTAGGGAACACAATCCTGAAAAAGTTTGTACGAATTTCTTCTTTTGATACTATTTCCTTTACGTTCTCACAATCACATATCTCTAGCTCCTGCAGATGCAGAAGACTTGCTGAGGATGATGCAGAGAACAAACAGCTAATTTTTTTGCATTCCTTTATCCCTAGGTAAGTTAGATGTGAAAACCAAAAGCAGCCTAGAGAAGGAGCATTCCTTATCATTCTCTGTTCATCATTAGCAACCTACAAAATGAAGATGTTGTTGTAATATTTCATCTTTCATTCAACTACGACAAAACAGAAATTAACTATCATATTTACTTTACGTTAACATAACTTTTGAATTATTTGTTAAATGTAACAATTAACTATCTAAACTTTCCTGCTGTCCATCTCACTGCAAAATAACTTTGACTTTAATATAGTCGAGGATTGATAAATAATATAAGACACATAAGGTCGCAATAGATAAGTGCATATTTTATAGTTAAATAGGAATATATTTTGAATTATATTTGATTAAATTTATAAATATTTTATACCTATCTAATTAATTATATATATATTTTCCTCTGTACACACTCAATTATAGGATAAAAAGTATTTTTGCTACAAAATCTACTTATGTTCAATTTTTATTTTGCGGCCAAAATTATCAAATAAAGAAAATATGGAAAGAAGAAAATCAGAAAAGGAAAAGAAAGAATGGAGGAAACAAAACAAGATCAGTTAAAAGTCCCCATTTAAAAATTTTATTAGCAAGATTAGGACATTTTAAGAACAACAATCACTACTATTGCGAAGACATAAAGAGTGAAGTTTAGTCATCCCATGTTGATCGAAAACAAAATTAAAGTTTTGTCATCCCATTAGGTGAAATTCAATCCCCATCGATTGGATCAACGTTTATTGCTTCTCTTGTTTAGTTTCGATAAATTTTGATTTTCATTTAATTACTATCTTGTGTTATAACTAAATTTAATTGGATTGGTAAAACTCAGCCTCCCTGTGGGTTCAACATCAAAATACTCCAGCTAATTTACTACTACAATCCCATATGCTTATGGCACCGATCACCTATGTAAAATTCTGAGAAAATCATATTGGAGACACTTGTAATTTTTTTCAGTTTTCATTTTTTCCCCCTCTTAATTTAATTTTTAATTTGGCTCTATTAACATTGTTAACCCTTACATAGTCACTAAAAATGCTAATAGAACAAAGTTACAAGAGCTTTTGGTGCTGAAAAAGTAAAATTAAATGATTTAATTAAGGAAAAAAAAAACACATAGGTACCAAAGTAAAAATTGAGAGAAAATATAGGTACCTCTAATATGGTTTTCTCAAATTTATGGATAAATGTATATTTAACCATTCAAGATAAAATCATACTGTGAAAGAAACAAGAAATAAATGAACATTTAGCTATTCTACCTGATCTTGTTGATGATGGCCGTTGCCTCTGTGTTTCTTTAAAGATGGCTGCTCAGGAATACAAGGTTGGTAGCAGAAGCTCACAAGATTTGGCAGATGGCTTAAAGTAAGAGACTGTACTTGATCAAATGAAGTCAGGTCTGTTGTCCACTCTCCATTCTTGATGATAACTTCTAGCACGCTGCAGTTAATAATGTTGATGCTCTTCAGGGATGGAAACTCTAACACAAATGAATCTTTGGAGATGGATGTTGCATGATCTGGTAATGCATTCTCAAAAACTTCAAGAGAGTTTGCAGAAGACAATACAACTGAACCATCTTCGCTTTTGACTAGTTGCTCCACCATCCTACAGTTTGATATCTTCACATCTTGCAATTTCACAAGAAGCCTGGCTATGGAATGAGAGAACAGATATCTTAAATTCTGACAAGCTTCTAAACTTAGCAGCGTGAGGTTGTTGAAGCCGGTGATTTCCACTGGACTTGTCAACATGGGCACCAGTTTTACTATACAGTTTGCACTAGCCTTGGAATGCTGGTTTTGTTCAAGCTGGAATATAGCATCCAATGAATCCCAGCCTTTGACTTGAAGTTGTTCCAGATTTGGCATGTTGGTTCTCATTTCTTCCCTAGTATATTTTTCCTTGGCATGAGTAGATATATGGTCCCTCTTCAAATTAGCCTGAAGAGAAATTTAGTAAGGTTAAACGAGAGACTAATGTCAGAAAATGGTAAAAAGGACAGTGTGTCTAGAGATATATATTTCTTGTCTCAGCCCCCCCCCCCAATCAATATTGCATAGGGTATTTGTTAGAGAGATAAATATGGAAAATAAACTATCAGACTTCTTTAGTAGGTTATGAGATAACAATTCCTTGAGCTTTGAACGTACAGCTGCAGACTTGATTGATAAGAACAGAAACAGAGAGACAAGTACACACATTTGATTAATTAGATGATACCTGGTTGCTGATCTCTCCTGCTCCTTGGAAATTTGATTTGGCCATTGAGTTGGAAATCTTAATGTTTGATGGGGTGCATCCAAGACAACAAGGGAGAAACCTAGGAGTGCTGAAACCAACATCCTGGAGGGTAGAATCTGAAAAGGAGTTGCTGAGATTCTCTTGCTTTGCTAGGTCTTGAATTGGCATTGAAGATGTCTTCAGCTGGGGACAACCTTCAATGCATAAATATCTCAGACATGGCCAGGCTAGGTCATAACAATCTGGACAAATGCTCACAAGGTTTGGAAGATCCTTAAGTGTCAAAGAATCTAACTTGGCGAACAGAAGAGTCTCCACTATCCCTTGTTCTCCTCCATCATCATCCCCAACAACTTTCTCCATCAACTGGCAACTGTGTATCTCCAGCTTCTGAAGCTTTGCGAGTGTTCTGGCAATGGTGGGAATGAAGATACTTCTTAAAGCATCACATTTCTTGACTTTGAGTGATCTCAAGTTCTGAAAGCCTTGAACATAACTTGGAACATTACTCCAAATATGTCTTAGCTTGCTAAGCCAAGATATCTCTATTTCTTTGAGCTGAGAAAATAGCATAGGAACTGGCTGGCCTTCCATTTCCGACCGTTTCAAGTCAAAGACAGTATCTAACAAAGAACACTCAAGTAATAAGATTTTCTCCAATTTTGGGAATTGGGGCATCCACTTGGATTCAAATAGTGTACCGCCAATGTGAACAGATGCGTCAGCTCCTAATATTGAGTTGGACCCTAGCAGATGTTGACCATCTTCAAGCTTCTGTTCTTGAACCTGTAAAAATCCATTGCATGGCTCATTTACATCACCAATTTTATGAGATATGACTTCACTTAGAAACTTTATGGAATAAGATCAAACGAATCAACTTAACTCGCTAACTCATTGGCTAGGTGGGTTAGACCATTTGAACATTTTTTTTTTTTTTTTACAATAATTTATGCAGGGGTTCAAGCTCAACCCAAGCCATCGGCAATGTACTTGAATAGCTCCTTCTAGGTGATATCAATGTTAAGCAGGGCGAAACCTACATTATACCCTTAGGTATTAACTTAGGCACTCCCATTTTAGGATGCTTCCCAGACGCCACAACGGGGAATTGAACCTCTCCCCTTTGGATAGAAGGGTGTGATTCTTGCCACTAAACCTACGAACAATGGGTGAATATTGTTTTTTTTCTTAAGAACCTCAAATATAATAATATCTCCCGAGTTAATACACCAAATATTAGAAACATAATCCTAAATTAAATTTAAAAAATATCTTAAATTCCATGATTCTTGATTCCAATTTCTTGATTTTTTATGATAAAACTATTTCTACGAGACAACATCTATAACTTCTTGAAGTTTAAAACAGTAAAATGACATAAGACATTTGAATGCTTTCTTTTTGTTATGACAATATATTAGAAAATTAGATGTTTGAACCATTTTTGCTAATCTTTAATTTTTCTGATAAGTTAAACCAATTAATGTACTTAATCTACTAGGTAAGTCAAATTTGGACTTTCAACTCATCAGATTAAAGTAAGTTAAATGAGTCATCCCATTTTAACCCATAATCTATGATAAGTTCACTTATTTAACTCATCTAACTTGGCTTAATGGCTTTAGGCTCAGCACACTGTACTTTATATTATTTAACTCACTCACACACACACACACACACACACATTTATGCTTCCTAATCATGTGACCAAAGAAAACTAAGTTATTACACAAAAGAATTTGTCATTACTGTTAATGTCATTTAAATCAAATGTATGGATTTAAAAAAAGGAAACAATTTAGTGGTGTGGTAATTAATGTGAATCATAAATTCAATATATGAGAATCATAATCTTACATCTATATTAATTAGTATTTGTAATCATTTAAGAAGGATAAAAGTAATCAACATGACATATTTCTGCAAAACCAATGACGAATTCTTTTCATGCACCATACAAACTGGCTTGCATATACAAGATGTGAAATATCATATGTGGAAGATAGGCAACAAAGTGGTAATTAATAGGAAGAAGCATACCTGGGAATTTAAGAGATGAAGCTCATTGTTATGATCCGGTATAGCGAACCCAACAAGGCTTGGAAGTTCTTGTAGCTTCAGTTCCACTAAATTTGTGAACTTGATCACTGAATTCCCATCATGGATTTGTTTGGAGAAAATACATTCAATCCCATAGCATTCAGTCACATGCAAGCATTGAAGCATCCCAACACTTGACTTCTGAGATGGTGAAAAGACATACTTCAACTTTTTGCAGAATTCTACTTTCAGATCACTCAAGCTGCCAAGGCATTGGCGACTAGAGGTGAAACTCTTGGCATGGCATATCTCCCTTAAATTGTCCAAATTGTGCAGAGACAATGATTGAACCAGTGGGAAGACACAACTTGAAGCATCGACAGTTTCATCTGTCAAGTACTTCAGATCATTGCAGAACTCAATGCTGAGATTTTTTAAGTGCGGAAAACCTTCTTCATCCAACTCATAGATCACGTTTTCTAATTGTTTTACATCCACAAGGTTGAGAATTTCAGATTTCTTAAGCAATTGTTGAATTGCCACATTCTCTTTAATATCGTTATGGTACACACCATTTAGTTTAAGGATGTTAGGGTGTAGATATCCTCGACGACCAAAGCCATGAGAAAGAGTAGTTGAGTCTCTCACATAGATCCAGAACTTAACCAAGCTTTTTAACTCCAAATCTTTAGGAAAAACATGAATTCCTGTTATTGAAATCTCAAGAACTTTTAGCTGATGAGAAAGAAATTTGAGGTCTGCAAGAATGGAATTCTTTTCCTCCCAATGGAAATTCCTGACTCTAAGATAAAGTTCTTCTAAGTTAGATAAGCTAGCTAGGACCCCGGAAGACATCTGATCAAGATCATTGCATTCTGTCAAATCCAACAGTCTTAGAAGGCTTAGTTTGCCTATTTCTGCTGGCAATTCTTTGATATTTGAGTGGGCAAAGCTTAACACTTCCAGTTTCCTTAGCTCCTTACAGATTACCGATATGTCTCCAACCTGACAATCTTCCAACCGTAAGGTGCAGAGGCTATTGAGTGATCGGAATGGAGATGACACTGATGGAATGCACAGATTGCTTATGCCTAAAACCGTTAGCTTGCTCATGTTATGGAAGAAATTTTCTGAAATCGGTTCTCTTCTCTTTAAATAAACTTGTAAAAGTCTAAGGTTTGGACACTGCAAACGCTTAGGATGCATCTTAATCTCATCAAACACAAGTGAGATTGCACTATGATGCCATATGAACTCCTTTGACCCCGTCTGTCCGGCATCATATTTCACTGCAAATCCATGCTCTTCTTTGGATCCAATTGTTATGACAGTATCACGAACGACATCATGCATTTTCACACACTCTTCCTCATTGCTGTCCAGCAACAAAAACCGCTTCTTTAGAGTATCAACCAAGGTATGCACTCGATTCCTTGCTTTACACAAAGCACCCAGATCCTTGAACAAACCCAAGCCCACTCCATATCTGAGAAGAACTTCAATAGGAATGTCAAAGTCTTCTGGGAATAAGCAACAAAGCAAAAGGAGAAACTTAGCTTCTTTGTTGCCTAGAAAGTTATAGCTTAATTCAATACATGAATATATAGAATATTCTTGCATCTCTGAGAAGGAAGTTAGTGAGGACTTTCTCAGCTGATCAAGTGCATCCTCCCATGCATGCTTTTCCTTGTTCCCTAGTGCTTTTGCTATTGTGACAATAGCAATTGGCAAACCCCTACATTCATTTGCAACCTCTTTTGCTATGTTATGAATCTCAGCTTTGTCCGCAACATGACCACCTACCGTATCCCTGAAGAGATCCCATGCTTCTTCTTTAGAGAGAACGGGCATAGTGAAGTTCCTCTGACTTATCATCCTGTGGCACACATCTTCATTTCTTGATGTGAATAAAATTTTGCAGCCCTTGTGACACTGCCCATTTGAAGGAAGCCCTATCAACTCGAAATCCAGCTCTGTCCATACATCATCCAGCACTACGAGGACCTTATTGATCTTGTTAAGCCTCTCAAGTAGTTGGCCCGCCCTTCCTTGTAGAGTTTCCTTATCAAATTTCAAGCCTAAGGTGTCACCAATTTGACCTTGAATCTTTCTATAGTCAGGAACTTGGGACACTATAGCCATTGAAATTTCATCAAACACCTTATCTGCTTCCAAAATTTTGATGAGCTCTTTCACCAATGTGGTTTTCCCCACACCACCCATCCCACAAACGCTTAACCTGTTGAACTCATCACCCTTCAATTTCTCTACAACCTCGGCCATAATTGATTCTCTTGAGGCAAAGCTCTTAATTCCTTCTGTGAACGTGGATCCTAGTGTTGGTAAAGGTGCAGGGTAGGATATGAAGTCAAATTTTTGCTCCTTCAGGGAAACAAGATCTTGCGCCATTTTTCCTGCTTTCTTGCTCAGTGAATAACGAAACACCAAATTTGGACACAACCCATTGAGGCATTTCTTGTTCTTGTTGACAAACTCATCATCGTACACTTTATGTAATTCATTTTCTACAACGTTATCCACTTTGTTGAGCCAGTGTTCAACATTTAGAGCAATGTGACGTCCATTCCTTCTGTCTGCGTCCACCATTCCTTCAATCGCACCCTTCCTGTCTTGCAAATTGTTGAGTTCTTTCTTCATTTTATTGATATTTTTGTCATAGTGAATCAGATGTTTGAATTGCGACGTGACTGGATCCATTAACATCTCCCCAAGTTTTGACACAATTCCTGTCCCGATTGCCACTAGAAACTCCATTTTGCTTTAGCCTGAGTTCACGTATGCTTGTCACCCTGCTCTATTCACCATTAAGCCAAGCCCATCCCCCACCCCAAAAAAAAAAAAAAAAAGCAAAATCAATTCTGAGGTTTCAAGCAATTTATTAGGATTTGGTTCGCTGTGGATTAAAGTTATTATGGACTAACGGTTACTTTGTTCACCAAATTCTCTCTCTACGGAAAAATTGATGTTCTGGTTGTATGCATAACTTTTATTTTATAAAAAAACAGGTCATCATGAAAAATAATTAAAACAAAACTTCTCTCACGTATTTACAAAATCATTTAGGGTTTGTTTGGTTTCCTATTTTCAAAATGCCTTTTGGTTAAAAAAATGCTTGAAAATATGTTTTCAATTATATGTTATGAAAAACAAAAGAAGTTAAAATTTATTTTAAAAAAAAAAAAAGGACGTTTTTTATGCTTCGTTATTTTTTTCCTACAAAATTAGAGAAAAGATATATAATAAAAGGGTTAAGATACATTCAGTACATCCAGCACTCTAAACATATTTTTTTTCCAGGTGCACCTATTAAAAGAGCATTTAGTATGAGAGATTGTGTGATGAATACAAGTCCAAAAAGAGAGCCCAATCTCAAAAAAACCAGCCTATTATGATTTATGAGGGACAACCTCTTAACCTTATAAACCACCCAACACATGTAAAATTCCTTTATATGGGACTTATGACATATTGCCCATTTGCTTGTTACTTAGAATTAAATAAATTCATATATGTAAGATTAGGGAATATTAATATCATGGAAGGAGGTTTGTATTCTCTAATCTCAACTATATGGGTTTGTCAAATCCCAAGTAACAAGCAATTTCTCATACTAATCTTCTTTTAATAAATTTTTTCAATCTCAATCTCAAACCTTTTTTTTTTTTTTTAGTAGGATGGTATCGCTATCTCCTCCGGTATCCCACACCACATTGGGTGCAGACTAATCCGGAGCGCCCCCCAAAAGAGGACTTCCCAGGATTCGAGCCCCAGACCTGGTGGGTACGCGGCGCCTTGCCCTCCCCTTATCGAACCAGTCGGACCAGCCCTCCTGGGCTTAAACCTCATTTTTCATTCTTAATGTTTCATAGCAAATGGGACCATAAAGTAAACTTTTCTTCATAAGAAACCTGAATTATACGCTTTTTCAACCACATCACTCATAAAGAATCTGGCCTTAGCTTCATCCCTTATGCTCATCAGCCTTGTTTTCCATAGATTTATTTTCTCAATATCCACCAAATAAGGGCCTGTTTGTTTTTGTTCTTTGTTTTCTTGTTCTTAAAACAATTTTATAAAATTATTTTTAAGAACAAGTTTTGAAAACAAAAAAACAAAAGAATTTGTTTGGATAATAATTTTAAAAAAATCATGTTTTAAAAAAATTATAAAAAATCATATTTGATAGGTGATAGTTGTCGTTACTAATAATAAGTGATAGATAGTAGATGAGAAGAGAAGAAAATTTTTCAAAACTTTTCAAAACAAAAAATAAAAAACACCCAAAACAAAAACAAGAAAACATTTAAAAGTTGTTTTGGTTTTTAAAAACATGGTACTATTTTTTGTTTTTTAAAACAATCAACTAAAAATAAATTACCAAACAAGTTTTTTTGTTTTTCTGTTTTTAAAAACAAAAAATTGTTTTCCCAAAAAAAAACCAAACAAGCCCTAAATTTTCCCCCATCAAGCATCAAAGCCATATCGCATGATACCCAACAATATAGTGAAACAAAAAACAGAAAACTATATACTCCTCCGGTCCTTAATATAAGACCCATTTAACTAATTTGATTAGATTAAGAAAGTTAGGTAAGTTAGTTAATTACAAGAAAAGTGACATATTTTTCCTAAAACACCATAATCATCTTTCTTAATACCCCTCTCTCTCTCTTCTACTTGATTATGGTTGAGAGAGTATCTATAGGGATAATTTAGAGAAAATTGATAAATATGAGAAATGGGTCTTATATTTAGAACCAAAGCCAACTCAAGAATTGGGTCCTTTATTAAGGACCGGAGGAGTATATCTTTATTATTTAAAAGAAGGATTACGTAAAACAGGTTTGTTAAAATGGCCTCGCTACTTGGAGTGCAAAGTTTATTGGCTGCAGCTAAATTTAATCAAATGAACTTGCACGCCAGACCCTAAGCCGAAAGATCACAAGCGTAATAGATATGGCAATCTTGAATTAACAGAAGCTTTCATATATATAAAAAAGCTTACCACTGTACGTGCTGGAACTGAAGATCTGGGACAGACACAGCAGAAACAAGCGCCTCAAACTGATTCCAACAACGACCTAGGAGAACCAAAAGGCCGGCTAGAAGTTAATTGACGATGTTCTTTTAAATTTCAGAAAATGCAAAACAAGCTTGTATATTGAGAGTCAGACAAAGTTGGATGCTAACATTTATTTTTAATGGAGTCTTAATTAAATAACATATCTTCTTCCTTCCTCGTTGGTGCCAATAGTCAATCTTTTGTCGTATTAGCTGCACTGGAGAAAAAGTACTCTCAGAAATGAATACACACACACACACACACGTACGTATTGTATCACCTGCTTTGCTTCGAAGAAAGTCTGTTTGTAAGGTTCCTTTAATTTTTAATTTAATTCTGAGGATTATTTCGGTATATATTATGTGAGTAGTTATTGACCTAGCTATAGCTTTTCTCTCTCCTACAGATCTCGTATGCGTCAATTGTAAGATTCAGGAAAGCTATCGAAGAAACAGTTCATGAATTCTTACACATGTTTATTTAGTAAGTAGATATATCATGCATGTTCATGCACAGATCTCTGTGAAGAAACATGTTCGCCTTCCATTAACCACTCAAATATTGCTTTCAGATCCAAAGAAGATAAACCCAAATCAATCTCAGTGCAAAGATGATGGCCACAGACAGATGTTATATACAAATCTTCCAAACAATCCTTCTTTTCTTTCTGTCCTCACAAAATTATTGGTTAAAAAAGATAGTCAAACTTCGTGAGAAACAAGCCAGAAGGATACAAGGTAGCTTGCTTACTGGGTCTAGGGAATATATATATATATATATATATGTTGCAACATAGTATACGGCAAAGAAGGAATAATTAATCAAAGCAATCACCCATCTGAAAGGGCCCCACTGATATTGAAACTTTGATCACCTTTCCTGGCTGGAATTTTTCGAATAAAAGCGACCTGAAGTGTATATCACGAACTGACGAGGAAATTAAGAGAAGAAGAACGAGAAGGAGGAGAGAGGTTTTAGCATATTATATTATATGGTAACCTTGTAAATTTGAAGCCGTAGGGTCCTTAGTTAAGTATTTTTATCATTAAACTAAAAAGGAAACAATGTCCGTTGATGGGTATTCGTATAATTCTGGAATAACTTTATCATTAGACAATGCATTCAAAAAAACTAGAACAAAAGAGAGAAAGAAAGCGAGGTGGAAATAAACATGAGGTTTAAGGGGAAACCAAAGGGTTTGTTTGGTTCAAAATTTTAATAAACGAAACGGGAAAGGGGACAAGGGATGTATGTTAAAACACACTACGAAAATCCTTCTTTGAAAGGAAGTGTAAGCGGTTCGGATTTGGTTTGGGTGTTTATCTAAGATGAGCTGCTCATATCTTTTAGACGGTCCAAATTAAATATTTTTAATTAAATATTTTTAATAATAATAATTAAAATATTATCCTTATTTTAGACTCTACACTCATTAAAATAATTGTTTTTGAAAAGTAAAAATAAAAAGAAATTAAATCTACTGACAATCAGCAGGAAATTGGATGATCACCCAAATTGGTTCTAACCCTACAGGATGTGTTTTAGTATTTACTTGTGGTTATAAATGTCCCTAATCAAAATATATATATTTATGGATGTAAGTTCCATCATTTTTCGTGGAAGCTTGCCATTGAAAGTGAAGCCATTGGACGCAGACACTACAGAAAGAGCAGTCCAAACTGATCTCAACACATTAACAGTAGTCTACGAGAAACCAAAGTGTTACATATATAGAAATTCATTTACCATGTTCTTCGTGTAAAATCAAGAGAAACACACCAACAAAGAGAAAGAGAAATATTGTAAAGGGTGTTACTAATTAAATTCTAGATTTTCTGCTCCTCTTTTTACATTGGGTCAACTACATATCTTCTTTTAAGTTCTGATGCTTTTGAATAAACCGTGCTTGTGGGGTTCCTTTTAATGATCTGTGCGGAAAAATTCTTTGGAAAAAGCCAAAAGGTGAGAGGGAGAAAGTTACGTTGTTCGATTGTATTCGGTGAATTATAAAATCTCTTTATTGAAAAGAGATATCTTTATTTACTATTGCCTCTTGTACTTAATATAACAACTATTTAACTGATTTAGATAGATTAAAAAGTTAATTAAATTAGTTATTTGTAATAAATATGAGTTGATTTTCTCAAAATATCTTTTTAATCATAACTACCATTGAATGAAAATTTCTTTGATATGTATAATAAATAGAGATACTTTATAGAGTAAATTATAAATTTGGGAGAAAAAGTTAAATGAGATTTTATATTTAGGACAAAATCTAATCCTTAACTAGTTCTTATATTAAGAACCAGAAGTAGTACCACATCCGATCCTTAATATGAGAGATAGTTTGGCATTCATTTTGGTCCCAAGTATAAGATCTCAATCCACTTTAAACAAACAGTGGAAACATAAAGAACTAATACTCCTTCTAATACTAAATATAAGAATTAGATAATTAATTTATAAATATCAAGAAAATTAGTTAAATCAATTATTTGTAAACATATATATACACTACAAAAAAATAGACTTTAGGCGACGACTTTCGGCGGCGACAAAAAAAGTCGCCGCTGAAGGTCCACTTTCAGCGGCGACACCAAAAAGTCGCCGCTGAAACCAAGACTTTCAGCGGCGACAAAAGTGTCGCCGCTGAAAGTGGACCTTCAGCGGCGACTTTTTTTGTCGCCGC